ACCAAAACGTTTATAAAATCCGAAATAAGCATCGGGTTCTCTTTATATTTCATACATGCCATTATTTCCATTAACAAAAGATTCGTTGTGAAGATCGCTCCACTACTTCTGGTACTTCCCACACAAAGGCTCAACTTTTTGAAAATGAAGCTGAAGCTCATAAAAAGCGAAATTGACATCCGTTTCTATTCAAAACTTGGTGCATCCCAAAAATTTCCATCAATACAAAATCTGTTATATAGATGGTCGGACCATCTTTTGGTATGGGCAGGGTTTAAGATTATGAAAAACAAAACGATCAAAGAAATAAGCATCCAACTCTCTTCAAATTTCACACATACAAACATTTTTGCTAACACAATATCTGTTGTGCAGATGATATATATCTGCGAACCCCTTCTGGTACCTCACTCACAAATGGTCACAATTGTCAATACTTTTCAATACCTTTATCAGCGATTCTTTACAACTTACTGATTCTCTCTCTCTCTCTGCCAGAAACCTGAGGTGAATATGGAATTGATGATTTTCCATAAATTGGATATAAAAGTTCGATTTTCTTTTAATTTTTCCCATCAATATTTTTATCTGCATATGATGAAGTGTGAAAATGGAATACTTCGGTCGATTATATCTGGGTACCTGACTCATATTTTAAATTTTTCTAAAAATTATCACATTTTTTATATAAAGTGAAGGAATTATCCAATATAGTCCAAACCTGAAACGTCGCAATATTTATATCATATTTATTTAGTTTCGATACGAAATGGACAATATTGGTCCATTCTTTCGGAGCCTACTCCATAGAGGGTCAATAATTTCAATAATCATAACAGAAGTCAAAATATAAGTAAATAATCGAACATTGGCTGAGGGTATACATCTGTCGGCAAAACCCGATTGATATTTTCTAAGGCTGGAAATACATAAAGCGCATATTTGGCTGGCTTAAGTCATCGGCTGGCTTCTTCATAGATGAACAAAGGAGTTTAAGGTTGACCTAGTTCGATTTGGACTTAGGCTCCTTTGTTCATTTTCAAAGAAGCTAGGCGATGACTTAAGCCAGCCAAATAAGCGCTTTATGTATTGGCTGGCTTCTTCGTAGATGAACAAAGGAGTTTTAGGTTGGCCTAGTTCGATTTTGGCCCTAGTCTCCTTTGTTCATTTCGGAAGAAGCCAACCGATGACTTAAGTCAGCCAAATAAGCGCTTTATGTATTCCCAGCTTAACTTGTTATAGTCAACATTGACAGATCAGAAATTTGTATAACAGGTTTTTTACTGACTTAAATCATCGGCTACCTTCTTCGTAAAAGAACAAAGAAGCGTAGGCTGAACGAATATAAATTATGGTCCGAAATTGAACTAAGACGACAAAAAACTCCTTTGTCCTTTTATGAAGCAGCCATCCGATGTCTAAAGCCAGTAAAAAAGTCTTCTATGTTTTTACACCTTCATTGTGTCGAGCGAAATATTTTCTTTTTTGGCAATAAATGTAGATGAAGAGTTTTACATTTTAACCATGAGATGTTATAAAATTTACAATTAAAAAATATGAACCTACGGTAGCACAAAGTTGCCCCTTCTAATTCTACAATTTTATGTACCTTATAGTACGTTTATATATATGAGGGTTAACCTACTGGATTTGGTTTTAAATTGTCATACCCATTACTTTTACGTCAAATAAATCCTCTCAAAGTAGGTTAACCCTACAAAAAGTTATAACGTAAACATGACATTAAAATCTACTCCATTCCCTAAAAAATCCTTTATCCAGAATCAACTGTTCTGCTCTCTCGCCAACGTGTTGTACTCGCGGTTTTGGGGGTTTTTTTCTTAACATTTTGGTTGAATTGCCGACCAGTGTTGCCGTTTGAAATTTTTATTTCAGCCCAAATGTTTTCTAAAAACCGCCCAAAATCGACCATATCCGCCCAAACTGGCCCGATCTTCACGAAATTTAGAATGTAGCTGGGGTTAAGGTCAGAATAGAACCCTATTTCTTTTGGAGATGATCGCATAATATTTAGGTGTTGAAATGGAGCAAAAACTGAAAATTTTCCTGATTCTAGAGCTTTGGGCTGCGCAGAAGCCTTCCAATTTTGATGGTCATCGGGTAATATTTAGTGGTTTAGTAGACCATAGACCATTCGTGATAATTAAAAGTAAATTTTTCCATTAAAGCGCGAATATTTTTATTGCCTCCGAAATCACAAATAGACGAACAGGTCAATTCTGACCGTTACGTAGATGCCGATAGTAAAAATATCGGATAAATATAGCGAAATATATACAATGTATATATGCAAAGGAAGGGGATGTCAGCTAGAATGCTTATATCTTCAGAATGGCTTGAGCGATTTTGACAAATTTTGTCAATTTAGAATGCCCTTGTGGCATTAAAGTATAAATACTAAAAAATCGCATAAAAAGATACCAATAATGGTGTTCATATAGATTTTGTAGTGTTTTGTGACTTTTTTTTATTTTTTCATATTTTTTATCGCATGCGATTTTTTCAAATTGACTTATAATATTGAAGTATTTCTTTTGTAATATTTTTTCACTTTACAACACAGGTTAGGGTTATTATTTATATACAGATTGAAATTATCGTTCGATCCTCACGAAATTTTTTACAAAGGTAGGGTTAGGCTCAGAAGGGCTTAACCAATTTTTTTCAAAGATATCCGCAATATATTTAGGGGTTGAAATGGACCAGCAACTCAAAATGTTCCTGATTTTGCAGCCGTTATAAAGGTCCCAAATATAAACCTAAGGACACGAAATCTCGCATGAAGTTAGAGCTTAGGACAGCGGTTAGAATGGACCACGACTTTTGTGTAAAAAAATACCAACATTACTTACAGGCGATATCCGAAATACACAATAGGCGAACTTCTGGCTTTTTTATGCTGATTTCGTTGACGAATATAGCCATATATCGTAGACAAGCAAATCATGTAGATGAGTCTAAATTTGGAGACACAGAGGGGCTTCTTGCTTTTGGAGATGATCGCAAAATATTTAGGGGTTTAAATGAACCAAAAACAGAAAAAAAATTTCCTGATCACACAATTGAAGCCAATCGACACGCCTGAGAATATAGTTAAGCACAGGGAAGAATTCTGGCATTTTGGATGAGCATTGGAATATATTTAGCCGTAAAATGGACCACAAAAACTAACAGCATAAATATTGGGAAAATGTCCCTGGTCAAAATGCTAAGGGTAATATCTGGGCAGTGCTCCGTGACAATTTCAAAAGCGAAATCTTCCAAAATGGATTTGGACATGAGGGGGCTTCTAACACATTGTAGTGTTGTAGGGTATCACATGGTCGGCCCCGCACGAGTATAGCCTTTGCTTACTTGTTTTTTAATGTATTATATATATTATAAAAAACAAGTAAGCAAAGGCTATAGTCGTGCTGGGCCGACCATGTGATACCCTACAACACTACAATATCTTAGCAGCCCCCTTATGTCCAAATCCATTTGGAAGATTTCGCTTTTGAAATTATGTCACCAGGGACATTTGCCCAATATTTACGCTCTCCGTCGTGCTTTTAGTTGTGTGGTCCACTTTAAAGCTAAATATAATCCAATGGTCATCAAAAATGCTAGAATTCTTCGCTGTCCTTAACTCTCTTCTCAGGCGTGTCGATTGCCTTCAATTGTGTGACCAGGAATTAAAAAAAAATTTTTAGTTTTTGGTCCATTTCAACCCCTAATATATTGCGGACATCTTTGAAAACAATAGGCCTAGCTCTTCTGAGCCTAAACCTACCCTTCCGAAAATTTCCGTGAGGATCGGATAATAATTGCAATCTATATATAATAACCCCAACCTGTGTTGTAAAGTGAAAAAATATTACAAAATATACACTTCAATATTATAAGTCAAATTGAAAAAATCGCATGCGATAAAAATATGAAAAAATAAAAAAAAATGTCACAAAATACTAAAAAATCTATATTAAAATCATTATTGGCATATTTTTCTGCGATTTTTTTAGATTTTATATTTTTATGTCAAGAGGGCATTCTGAATTGACAAAATTTGTCAAAATAGTTCCAGCCATTCTTGAGATATAAGCATTCTAACTAACATCCCCTTCCTTGGTATATATTTCGCTATATATATCCGATATATTTACTATCGGCATCTACGTAACGGTCAGAATTGGCCTGTTCGTCTATTTGTAATTTCACCGTGATCAAAAATATTCGCGGTTCAATAGCAAATTTGACTTTTATTTAACACAAATGTTGTATCCTATTTCGCCCACTAAATATTACCCGATGACCACCAAAATTGGATGGCTTCTGCCCATCCCTAAGATCTAGAGTCATGCTAACTTTCGCGTCGCTTGGTCTATAATTGCGACTTGTAGAGCAACTGCAAAATCAGTAATTTTTTCAGTTTTTGGTCCATTTCAACACCTAAATATTATGCGATCATCTCCAAAAGAAATAGGTTTCTATTCTGACCCTAGCCCCACCTCCATTTTAAATTTCGTGAAGATCGGACCATAATTACGACCTGTAGAGTGATTACAAATTAACATGGACAGACGGACAGACGGACGGACGGACATACATAGCTAGATCGACTCAGCTCGGCGAAATAGGAAGATCCATATATACTTTCCTATGTGGGAAACCAATATTTCGTGGTGTTACATAATTTTTGGCCCAATCAAACTTATAATACCCCCAACACATAGTGTTGTAGGGTATAAAAATTTAACAAACATCTTTAAAATAAATAACGATTTATCTCAATAAAAAAATATAAAATTCAGTTAGTAATAAAAAAATTAAATTACGTAAAAATTAACAATGAATAAATAAATGTGTACCCAATATGGAAAAAATGCGCCCAAAATCCGCCCAAACCACAAAATGTATCTTTTTTCCGCCCAAATTTGGACGGAAACGCCCAAAACGGCAACACTGTTGCCGACTGTCTGCCTGGCTCATCATTTACGTCACACTCAGTGTCTTTGCGTCGGTCTCTTTGTTAATATCGTGAATTCGGAGTAACGTGTCAACTTATCGACGTTGCGTTGTATGCCGGCTTATTGACAACGTGTGTGCGCGAATATTTTCTTGTTTATAACCAACCACCAACAAAAAGCACACAGACGTTCCCTCAGGCACCAAATAACTCGTCAACAAGACACAACTACTGATAAATAAATCACAATTGTAATTAAATATTTTTTTGTGGAAAATTGAAACCAATTGATAATTAAATACATTTTTGTTAACAATAATAAAACAACAACAACGGTAACTTCGCGGAGCACAATTTTCTGATTTGCCGTCTGTCTGTCGGACGACGATAGATATCGGATGTGGTTAACTTCAGAGAAAACAAAAACACATTCTGCGAAAAAACTTTGTTTTGAGAGAGAGAGGGAGAGAAAGAGAGCGAGTGCTTGGCAAATTAGCAGGGATGGGATAGTTGAATTAAAATAAAGATTGTTTATGAAGTTTACAGTATGTTTACATTTAAATAAGTTAACCAATTGCATTTGAATTGATCATATCCATTACTTATACTTCAAATAAATCCTCCCAAAGCGGATTAAAAAATATCTTCTCAAAGCGGCAAAAAGTTCTAACATATCCGTGGCATAAGAATGAATAACGATTTTTTAACAACAAAGATTATAAGGGGAGTCAAAAAGGAGACTTATTTCGAATAAGCTGACCCTATTAAAGGCTCTATCTGACGGAATGTTTAGACATGCATAAAAGTGACATCACATATGTAAAACCCATTCCTTCTGACAATACCTTAATACAACAGTGTACGCTACAATGAAGAATTTGAATATTGATCAAATATGTTGACGACCTTTGTTGAATTGTGAAGAAAAGAGATATTCCAATACTTAAATGTTTTAAACTATGTATATTTCAAGACGTTTGCAGTTCGACGCATTTAAGGTGGTAATATATAACACGTTTTATTTTGACTAACTTAAGTCATCGACAGTGGAACCAAGTCAAACTAAAGCTCATTTGTTCGTTTACGAAGAAGCCAGGTGCCAGAAGCACCTATATAACCCTACAGGGCAATGAACTGACACTAGATTGGTATTACAAACCTACAACTTCAGAAGTATTAATTATTATTTGTTCTTTTCCAGAACTGCAAGAATGTAAAAGCGTTTACTACGATAACCGTACATAATTACTTTTGAGCATCTTCATAGAATCACTTTCTGAGTCGATTTATGCATGTCCGTCCGTCCAAGTATTATTGTTAACAAAATGCAGCTCACATTTATTATTCGATTGATATGAAATTTTTCAAACAATATTTGTTTGGCCCAAGGACAAACCCTATTGAAAGTGGTGACAATCAGTTCAAACATAGATAAGGCTCCAATAGATATCTTCAACCGATATATTTTGCTCCAAATTACCAATATCAGTCCAAATGGTCTGAATTTTGGCACCTCCGACCGAATTCAGTCTAGAAGCAAGTACATCAATTTTGGAGAAAATCGCTTCAGATATAGCTTTATCCCCTATATATATGTTTTATATAATTACATTGGTAGTATGAAGTTCACAAGAATGATATTTGGTACCAGGTATCAGAAATACCTCTGTCAAATTTTATAGAGATCGGTTCAGATTTGGATATAGCTCCCATATATATCTTAATCCGATATTAGTTTTTTTGTGCACCAAATAGACCAAATTTTTTCACTTCCGACCGAATTCTGTCTAGAAGCAAGTAAATCAAATTTGGAGAAAATCGGTTCAGATATAGCTTTATCCCCAATATATATAGGTTTTATCCGATTTTGTGTTTAAGTCCCTCACATTCGTAGTATGAACTCCACAAGAAAGATATTTGGTACCAGATATCAGAATTACATCTGTAAAATTTTATAGAGATCGGTTCAGATTTGGGTACAGCTCCCATATATATCTCGCATATCTATTTCAGGTTTTGGCTAATATCAGCCCAAATGAACTGAATTTTGGCAATTCCGACTGAATTCAGTCTAGAAGCAAGTACAAGTAAAATCAAATTTGGTGAAAATCGGTCCAGAGATAGCTATAGCTCCCATATAGATGTTTTATCCGATTTGGTGTTAAAGTTCCTCACATGCGTAATATGTACCTTACAAAAATGGTCTTTGGTATCAGATATAGCTCAGAAATAAGTGTTTAAAATTTTGTCAAAATTGGTTCAGATTTGGATATAGCTCCCAAATATATCTTCAACCGATTTCGGCTTAATAGTGCACTAAATGGCTTATATCAGCACAAACGAACTGAAATTTGGTAATTCCGACTGAATTTATTCTACTTAAAATTTGGTGTAAATCGGTTCGGATATAGCTATAGCTCCCATATATATATTTCATCCGATTTACTGTTAAAGTCCTTCACATGCGTAATATGCACTTCACAAAAATGATTTTGTCAAGATTGGTTCAGATTTGGATATAACTCTCATACATATCTTTATCCGATTTCAGGTTTCAGGATGCATCAAATGGCCAATATCAGCCCAAATGGACTATATTTTGGCACTTTCGACGGAATTCAGCCTAAAAGAAAATGCTTCAAATTTTGGTGAAAATCGGTTCAGATATAGCTATAGCCTGCCCTGCCCGACTATTGACCTTTCCTTACTGGTTGTGTATTTCCAGCAAAATCCAATTTTTTTGACAAATGCTTACGAATTAAAAGCTTGGCCTTGAAATGCCATCCGCAAAAGAGAAAAGCAAATAACCTGAATTCATTCCTGCGGCATCATTGTATGACAAGGAATATTCTGTCAACTGTACTCAAAACATTATAAGTGGACGTTTCCTGCACTTCACAATATGTTCTCCGTGTATGATATTTAAAAACTAAGTACTTGAATTAATGAAATGAGACTGGTTAAATGCAGCTGTGGATAGGTGCGTAATACTATATTTATATTGTCAAATCGTGGGTTATATCGTAAATAAATGAGGAATCTTCGTACCATGTGTAACTAAGGTTCAGTATGTGTTGAATTTGTCACAAAATTATCTTTTCCGAGAATTATCAAAAAATCGCAACTTTCTCAAAATTGCAACATTAGCATTACATGCATAGTAGCTCAACACGTGCTTTTCTCTCTTTGGATAAATATTTCAAATGTTCACATATCCACCAACTCAGAGAAAAAGAATTTCAGTGAATTCAATGTCAAAAAGCTCTCCCCCATTTTTCAAACAGCGTTGTCAAACAAATGCCAAATAAATGTTTTTTTCCCTCCTAATTGAATTCACAACAATAACAACGCAAGAAACACGTATTGTTTTGATGCATACAGTGTGGATAAAATATTTAGGTGCGATGGGTTATTTAACCTGTGCAAAATAAGAAATTGCAAAAACATTCATAAAACTATAAATGAAACAATGGCATAATTACAAAGGTGTGCTTTTATTGTCAAATTTATATTATGTAGCTCCTTCTTAGACATGGGAGTACGAGTGGCATTTTCGACCAAATATTTTTTTCATATTCGAATTTTTTTTCAAAACTTTGTTTTACCATGTCCAACATTTTTTAGCATCTACCGTCTTTGAAAAATGCTTGACAATTATGACAACAATCGCGACTTTATGTATGTGATAGTGAAATACAACTCTGATTCAAGATATTTTTGCCTTGATTGAACGTCAGGTTAAATTTAATATTTATATAAATTTTTTGTGAGACATGACGACTTTGTACCTAACGATTTTCAGGCCACTGTAATTTAAGACAATTAAGGAAATAGGGGTGTGCGTGTCAGTGATGGCAAACAACAACTTTTCGGGTACAGAATTAAACAAAATCGGTGACAGAATCAAAGGCTTCGTTCCATACTTATTTTTAATTGTATAGTAGCAGCACTGAGCAAAAACGTGAAATCAGAGATGGGAACCGGTTTCTAATGAAGAAAAATTTTATAAGGAAATTCAGACATTATTAATCGGAATTTTTGCAAATTTCGTATTTGAAATTCTTAATCGCTACTACAACCCATGACAACAAATTACTTATGCAGGCCCACGTTTTGGTAAAGCTCCCATATAACTATACTTCTTGATGTTCGGTATTTTGATGATTTTAGTGACATTATTCAGCGAAATTGTTTGTATTTGAAGTTTGTAATGGATACTTCAACCTAAGACAGAAAATTATCTATGCAGGACCACAACTTCGTATAGAACACTTATTCACCGGAATTGTTTCAAATTTCGTATTTTAAGTTCGGAATCTGTACTACAGTCTATGACATTACTTATGCTGGTCCTCGTCTTCGTATAGCCCCCAAACAATGGGTTTCATTTAAAAGGTATTTTTCTAAGATTTTTTTAGGACTTTCGATTTTTTGAGAGAAACCCGTTTCAGGCCATTTAGAGTCAATCTAGCGAAGTCCGTCCGTCTTGTCTGGCTGGTGTGCAGGATAACTCTCGAAGGTAGTATTAGATTTGATCCAAACTTATTACATGGTAATATTTGGTCTGTTCCAGAACTTGCAATAATCTACTGGTTTTGCAATTTTCTTCGATATCATAAAGGGAAAATCGGTTATCGTAGTAAAAACTTTTATATTCTTGCAGTTCTGGAACAGACCAATTATTATCAAACTTAGATCGAGTTCGGAGATGGGCAATATTGGTCCACCACAAAATATCAACATTTTCAAAGAAAATGATTTACTGCACAGAAAGATAAAGGATAATCCTCCAAATTCTAATATTTGCATCAGTAGGTCAGGTGCGAAAATGGACAATATCGGTCCAATCCATCAAGTACCTTCCCCACGAAGTCCAATTGTCTTCAAATTACTCATATCACATAATTTTTATTAACCCAAGGTCTTGTGTGAAAATGGGATATATCGGTCCACTCCTTCTGGTACCTCTCCCACAAAGAGTCTAAATTTTGAATATTTATGAAGCACATAAAACACGAAATTAACACCCGATTCCATTCAGACTTGGCATATCTCAATTTTTCCATCAGCACAAGATCTGTTAAAAAGATGGTGGAGATCGGACCATTTTTTTTGGTAACTTCCCCACAAAGGATAAAAATTTTAAATAACAAAAACGATCATAAAATCCGACATAAGCATTCGGTTATTTCCAAATTACACACATCAAAATATTTTTATTAACCCCAGGTCCAGTGTGAAGATGGGATATATCGGTTCACTTCTTCTGGTACATCTCCCACAAAAGGGTCAAAAATTTCAATATTCATGAAGCTGATAAAACGCGAAATAAGGATCCGATTCCCTTGAGACTTGGTACATCTCAATATTTTAATCAACACAAAGTCTGTTATAAAGATGGTAGAGATCGGACAATTTCGTCTAGTACCTCCCCCACATACGGTTCAAGAATTTTAAAAACAAAACGCTTAAAGGAAGCGAAATAAGCATTTAACCCTCTTCAAAATTCACACATCCAAATATTTTTGCTCACACAAGATCTGCCAGCCCTTTCTGGTCCCCCACCCCCACAAAGGATCTGCAATAACTTGCGAAACCAGTCGGCGTTTCTTTACAACCTGCTATATCTAAATATTTCTCTTAACCAGAAATCTGATATAAATGTTTGATTTACTTCAAAATTTTCCCCATTTTTATCTACATAAATGTAATATACGTCCTCACGCATCCGTCGAAAAGCCCCTCATCCATAGCAGTAGAAAACCGATAACTGTCCCGACCATTCAGAATGATATTGATATTATTGAGATCAGGAAAAAGGTTCCAATCATGGTACAATGAATTCAAGGTAGGGCAGAACTACCATATGGTTTTAATTTTTTTATTGTTCTGGCTTAATATGTCAACTTCTTTTGTTTATGTGTGTGTATTCTTTTCAATAATAAAATAATTGTTCAGAAAACATTCAAATTTGGGTGTTTTCAAAATGCGACGTATGCATCGACAAAATCTTCAGTTTTGGTCGCGAAATAATCCATAAGAGATGTATAGAACATGATTTTGAAAAGAAATTTAGACCTTTCATTCAGTTTTCGCGGTTTTAAATTATTTATTCAAAATCAATGCAACAAGTTGTTTGCTTTTTTATTGTTTTGATAGTAATTCTGACATTACAAGCCAAACAGGTAGACCTCTATACTTGCAATTTTTTCAAAGTTAGCTTACCTTGTATTCATTGTACCATGGTTCCAATCTCTTTTTTGGATTTTTTAAAGTCCAATTATTTTGAATCTGCCACGCCCTACCTTGTAATGATTGTATCATGGGTTTATTGAGGAAGGAATACATAAAGCGCTTATTTGACTGGCTTAAGTCATCGGCTAGCTTCTTCGGAAATGAACAAATTAGCTTAGGGCCAAAATCGAACTAAGTCAACCTAAAAATACTTTGTTTACGAAGACTTAAGCCTGCCAAATAAGCGCCTTATGTATTCCCACCTTTGGTCTTTAAAACCCCCTTAGAAAAGCATTCATCATTTTAGGCCCCTTTTGCATCAAGATTTCCCATCTCCCGCCTCTAGGCACAATTTGTGTCTAACGCGTACAAAAATCATGACAGTGCCATCACTGACGGATATTTGTTGCTTTTTTTTTTGTTTTTGCAAAAATTGAGAATTTTGCTCTGCGCTGCTGGTGAAGTTGAAAAATTGTTTCCGAAACTAAATTCAGTTGTATTTTGAAGCTATTAGCAAGTGGTTGCGAAGACGGATTTCTTGCATTGACATTACCGTGGCGGCGTATTAAAATATTAAAGAGAAAGCCAAATATTATTTATAAAATATAAAACCAAGCAAAAAATGGTTATGGAAAAATAAATGAGGATTAGAACCATTTGTGTTGAATAAAGTGTTGTTAAAAAAAAAATAATTAAAAAAGAAAAATAAATTATCCAAAAAACAAAACCTCTAACAATGACGGAACGTTATGGCAACGGTGTAACAACCGATCTGGTAGAGTTACCAAATCGCCGAGTATCACAGGAGAAAAATGGCAGTGCCAGCGAAGAACATCCTCTGTCACAGCAGGCGGATGGCGATGAGGGTGGTGATAAAATTGTACTTAAACGCAAATTGACCCTCATGAATGGTGTGGCTATAATTGTGGGTACAATTATCGGATCGGGCATATTTATAGCCCCTACTGGTGTCTTCAAATATACTGAGTAAGTATCGGTTTTTAATTGAAGTATTACCGTTATAATCGTGAATGTAATAACAAAAATACTTTTTAAAGGATCCGTAGAGAATATTTTATTGATTATATTTTTAAAGGAGTTGTGAAGCTACAATTGTGAATTTTTAAAATTTTTTAAATAACTAGCACACTTAAAATCCTGAATTTGTACAACTATTTAAAAAAAACTGGAGGAACAGTAAACAAAGTTTGGGGAGCTAGAGTTGTGGATTTTTTTTTAATATATATTTTTATACCCTCAACTATATATAATATGGAGTATATATTAAATTCGTCATTCCGTTTGCAACTATTCGAATTAATAATTGTAGACCCAACAAAGTATATATATTCTTGATCAGCGTCCGTCCGTCCGTCCGCCTACTGTAATCACCCTTGGATCAAAACGAGTAAAGACAGAAAGTTACAAATTTTCACCGATCTGTCTTTTGTCTGCAGGCAGGTCGAGTTCGAAGATGGCTATATCGTCCCCCCATACCCAGATATTGGGTATTTTGATGATTTTAAGCACATTTGTCAATGGAATTGTCTGAAAATCTACAAAAGGAGTTCTCTGTGAGTGCTTTAACCCTTGAAAGAGAATTTTCTATATATGTCCACGATATCGTATATTTATTGGTGCCCTCCGATATTCGTCATTTTGTAATTTTAGCCACATTTTTCAATGGAATAATATAAAAATCCACACAAGGAGTTCCCTCTAAGTACGTTACACCCTGGAACAGAATTGTCTACATATTGTCTACCTTTTAGTATAGCACCCATATAACACTACCCCGATATATTCGGTATTTCAAGGATTTTCGCGACATTATGTACCGAAATTGCGTAAAAATTTCGTTTTTGAAGTTCATAATGGGTAGTACAACATATCATGGAAAATTGACTATACATGGCCACGTCTTCGTATAGTTCCCATATAACGGTACATCCCGATATTCGATATTTTAATGATTTTAGCGACAGAATTGTTTCAAATTTGGTATTTGAAGTTTGAAATGGATCCTACAGCCTAAGACAGAAAATTGTCTGTGCAGGGCCACTTCTTCGTATAGCCCCCATATAACGGTACCTCCCGATATTCGGTATTTTGATGATTTTAGCTATATTATTCACCGTTTATTTTTAAGTTTCGCATTTGAATATTGTAATGGCTTATGACAAAACTTACCTATGTAGGTCCATGTCATCGTATAGACCCTAATATAACAACTACATTCGGTATTTTTTAAATGTTAACAGAATTTTTAACGAATTTTATTGTTTTTGAGAATTGCCAAATTTGTTCCAATTGGTGTATGGTATTCAAAGTTCGGCCCGGCCGAACTTACAGCTTTTTTACTTGTTATTAACAAAAAATGGATGCTATTTTGTATAGAATATACCCAATTGATAATGGAATTTGGTATAGAATAATTCTTTCTTTAGCAATTTCCCAAAAAGATTAAATATAAAGGAAGATTTTGACTCGGATTGGATACATGTTACTTCACTTTTTGTACATAAATTTCGAATGCAATTTCTATAAAAAACTATTGTACCCAGATATATGGTTTACTTTGAGATTTTCAGTGAAATTTTGGGTAGAATATTTCTTCTTTTGACACCTTTCGCCTAAAACGTTATTTTATGTTAGTTTCAGGCGTCGATTTGAAAAAAAGACCGATGAAAAATTGATCCAAAAAGGTTGGAAATAATTTTGCGTTTTTTTTTTTTTGGGAACTTTGATGTAAATATTTTTCTGGTATGCCATGGAAATAGATAGTTTTTTTCTTTGGAGACTTATAGTGGAATGTTTTTGTCTTTGACGTCATCCTTCTAAAATGATGCTTTATTGGAGAATTTTGCACAAATTCACACAAGGTACGACTTTAACTCTAAAATATGTTTTTATACCCTACACCACATAGTGGTAAGGGTATTATTTCTTTGTGCATTTGTTTGTAACAGGGAGAAGGAAGCGAGATAGACCCATAGTTACTATTGAGGATGTTCATAGAATCACTTTCTGAGTAGATTTATGCATGTCAGTCCGTATGTCCGTGCGTCCACGTATTCTTGTGAAGAAAAATTATGCAATTGAGATGAAATTTTCCAAACAATATTTGTTTGGCCCAAAGTCGAACCCTTTTGAAGTTGGTAATAATCGTTCAGACTTAGATATAGCTCCCATATATCTTCAATCGGGTTAATTGTGCCCCAAATGGCCAAATGACCTGAATTTTGGCATATCCAGCCGAATTAAGTCTAGAAGCAAGTACATCAAATTTATTGACAATCGGTTAAGATATAGCTATAGCTCTCACATATTTGGTACTAGATATCTTATAGAGCTCGGAAATACCTCTGCCAAATTTTAACAAGATCAGATTTGGATACAGCTCCCATATATATTTAACCGATTTCGGATAAGTGGCTAATATCAGCCCAAGTGGACTGCATTTTAACACTTCTGACTTAATTCAGCCTAGAAGCAAGTACATCAAATTTGGAAAATCGGTTCAGATGTAGCTATAGCTCCCATATATATGTTTCACCCGATTTGCAGTGTTAAAGTCCCTCACATGCGTAATATTCACTCCTCAACAATGCTATTTGATACCGGGCATCAGATACTGCTCGAAAAGACATCTGCCAAATTTAATCGTCATCGTTTCAGATTTTTACAGAGCTTAGATACACCTTCCTCCGATTTTACGGTTATTGCTAACCATATATGTAGTATGATAGATTTTGTCATATTCAACCGAATTTTACCATTTGGTGAAACTCGGTCCGGTATATCTATTGCTCTAATAAATATTTTTTAATATAATCCTTATCGAAGTCATATCATGCTCTCTATAGCAATGTTATTTGGTTCACAGTCGGAATAATCTACTTCACATAAATTCCCAATATAAAAATTTTCGTTGCGGGAGGTCTACTAAATACGCTTAGCCATAACCATAATTTACTCTCTTTTGTGTTAACATTTTCGACCGAAATATTTAAACTCTGATACTCGTGTCTTCTTCTTCTTAGTTCAACTTTCATAATCTGTTTGAGTTTTTCCCGTCATTGGTTTTATGTTGTACAGTGTAATCTTTAGTTTTTTCAAAATTCTTTTAATGAGCTGTGAGCTTAGATTTTATAATTAAATAATTATATAATCTTTAATTTTTTTATGATAAATGTATAAAATGTTTAGATGTTAAATAAATGTGTAGGTTTTTTTAAATTCCAATTCCAACGCATGATTACACTATTGGTTCTTCAATCAAATTTTGGCAAAAAATTAAATCGCCTCGGAAGTGGAAGTTCTCACATTCCGAACACAAATTGACAAACCAATTTAATTGATCAATATTTAGTAAATGATCAATATTTATTTAATAATGTATAGAGAAATGCGTATTTCTATGGTCTTTTTCTATAAACATATATAAAAAATTGAAGAAATTCGAGAGTAACATTTCATCATTTTTTGACGTTTTCTTTATTGCCTTAAATTTGTTAAATTTTTTGGAATTTATTATATTTTTTTTTCAAACAGGAATATTTTCTGATTTTCAGATTTATTTATTCTTTGCTTCAGTTTCAGTTTTGTTCTTTAAAAAAATTTTCTTTTCAAAGCAATGTTCCGAAATATTCCATGCATTTAATCGCTGTTATGTGATAATGTTAATACTTTTAATCATTGTTGTAATCTTAAATTTCAAGTCAATGACCCAGTATCGGTGTATGCTGGGTTTACCTGTTGCGAGCAACAGTGTCAGCGAATTTTTTTGTGGGTCACCAAAAAAATGAAAAGAAAATAAATAAAGTCGTTTTAAATACGATCTTTGTGTTTACCGTTTACTTTTGAATTTGCCCTATGGCGAAACCGGTATCAGCTTGATACTTTAGCTACCAAATGTTATTAGAACCTGGTAATATTTCAAACCTATGCTTACCTATTGGTAATGCTTTTTATACAGGGTGGGATAAAAAAATTGCAACAAAAACAAACGCCATAATTTTTGCATTTTTTAAAATTTTTTTTGAATGAAAGCAAACAAATTTCGGAAATAGCATCAAATTTTAAAATAAGTTTAGATTTGTTCCTATTGGTCATCTTTGGCACGAATTATGGCCTTCAAACGGCCAATGCTCGCTGTTCGAATGTTGCTCTGCGGTATTTTGGCCCATTCCCGGCGAAGCTCTTGCTTGATGTGATCGACACTTTGGTATTTTTTAGTGCCGACCGTGCTTCCCAAAATACTCCAAAACAATAGTTCAACGGATTGGTATCTAGAGATTTTGGTAGCCATTGTGCGCTGGAAATGAAGCGAGGAACTTCATTTTGTAACCATTCTTGGGTGGCGCGTGCTGAGTGTGATGGTGCTGAGTCCTGAATGAGTGTTGGAATATCCAAGGTCTGCGGCAAAAATGTTTGCGTGCCCAAGACTTTAATACACCCTCCAGCATATTTTCGCATTAATATTCGTTATTTATTCTGTGCCATGGTCGATTAATACGAGCGGAGAGAGACCATCGACTGTCATGACTGCCCACACCATCACCATGGCCATGGCCGATAATTTTGTTCGTTTACAAACTGCTGGACAATGAAAGGTTTTCTCATCGGAGAAAACCAAATTCGGAAGTTCACCACTTTCGGCCAAGCGAAGCAACTCTTTAGCTCTTTTGAGTCTATTTTCTTTCTGATGCGGTGTAAGTTCTTGCACTTTTGGGAATTTCAATGGCATTACCCCGAGCTCATTTTTCAATATTTTCCGAATGGATTATTGCGATATGTTCAGCTCACGAGCCATTTTTCAGCCACTGCGATGCAGGTTTCGATCAGTTCGCTTCTGTACTTTTCGAACCATTTCTGCTGATGTTGCTTTTTTTCGCCCACTTCCTTGACGTCGGGCTACGCTACCGCTATCACGGTAACAAGCGATGGTACGAGACACAAAAGATTTATTCACATTTTAATGCTGG